TGCATGATCGGTGCGGACAACAAATTCCCTGCCATAGAGTTATGGCCTGCACTTATGGACAAAGTAAACTATGGCTAAAAGTTCCCTCTGGGTAACACAATAGCGGTGTTCCGCAGGTGAAAGGACGTGGCTACCGTACGCGACCACCCTTTCAACGCCATCCTTAGTTTGAGACAGGATAGCGCCGATGCCCGTACCGCTGGTGTCAGTGTCAAGTACAAACGGCAGCGAAAAATCGGGATATTCGAGCATGGGCACGTTGGACAGCCATTCACGGAGGGCAGAAAACGCAGCCTCCTCCTCCGGACTCCATTTGAACCTCTGATTTTTAGCGGTCAGCGAAATTTGGCATGAACCTGCGGTAGTACGAAGCAAACCCTACAAAGCTGGCAACATCCCCCAAGGTTGCAGGGGTCGGCCAATTGCGGACACAGGCAGTCTTTTCAGGGTTCGTGGCAATGCCCTCGGAACTAACACTGTGACCCAAGTAACACACCGAAGTCTGCAGAAAATTACATTTAGCTGGCTTAAACTTCAAGCTAGCGGAACGCATTCTATCGAAAATGGAGAGTAGCCGATGCAGATGTAGTTCCAAAGTGCGACTCAAAACAATCACGTTGTCTAAGTAAATGAGACAAGTGTCCCACTGTAATCTGGATAACACGAGCTCCATCAACCGCTGGAAAGTGGCCAGAGCTGAATTCAAGCCCATGGGATGGCAATTGAACTGAAAGAGACCTTGCGGCGTGCGAAACGCAGTTTTGGGCTTTGACGACTCGTCCAGGGGTAGCTGCCAAAACTCCGAAGACAGATCAAGAGTGGAAAAATATTTAGTGCCAGACAAGGCGTCTGGAGAGTTATCCATCTGTGGAAGCAGATAGGTGTCGGCCACGGAAACCTTGTTTAATTTGCGGAAATCGACGCAAAACTTGAGACCACCATCCTTCTTTTTGATGAGGACAACCGGCGCACCCCAAGGGCTAGTAGAAGGGGAGATAATATCGGCAGCCAGCATATTGTTGACCGCCTATTGCACACGCTCCTTCTCCACCAGACTCAATCGGTGGCATTACAGAGTCATACAACCCAGATCCAACTCATCCTTGCTAAACACATCCAAATAATCACGTAGCAGAGAGCACAATTCACCCCGTTGATCGGAGGACAAGAATGCATTTTCCCCACATAACGCGGTCACCCATCCCTCATCCGTCACACGGCAAGGTCGAGCTGCTCCCACTAACCGTTGCGGCTCAACCTCGTCGTTGACCAAAAACATAGTGGTGGCGTGAGCCAGCACCGTACCAGCGGGAACCACCACAGCGTCCAGCCCTCCATTGAGAACCTGTAGGAACTAGGCCTGCTTGGAGCGAACGATAGTCTGCGTGCCAACAAGCGCCAACCCTTGGGCCACCGCATTAGATGGAATGAGGAGGACTCCCGCAGTCGAATCAACATGTCCAATGCCCTTGTGATAACGTAATGGCATAAGCATCTGAGATCCCGGAGGAATCTCCACCTTAACGTCAACAGGGGCTTGGACTGCCGTGCCCTGTGTCGAACGCATCAATGGGGAGGGCAAGAAGGGCAATTTGCGACCTGAAGGCATCTCCAAACAACCCTGATTGACGAGGATCTTAACAGGCATGCGACGAAAAAAATCAGTACCCAACAAACAGGGCACAGCTAACGACCTCGAGATCAAAACAGGCCCCAATACGGCAACATCACCGATGACAACGAGGGCATCCACCTGGCCAATTATGCCCATACTGCCCCCATTAGCCGCGACATAAGCATCAATGACGGGTCGTATTTGAGTAACAGGAATAGACAGCAATTGAAAAATTACATCGGAAATAATAGTAGCAAAAGCTCCTGTGTCGACCAAGATACGAATGCTGACCCCTTGTATCGAACCCGGCACCGACGAGGACCCCGCAGCCGACGTGACCACACAACGCGCCAGTTTATTTCTTTGAGTGAGCAAATCGGGCCAATTCTGTGGAACTGACCCAGAATGACAGTTGCCAACAACCAAATCCCGTTGTGAGCGAACAGACACCGCAGATAGAGATGTATGAGGTTGCAAAATGTGCCGTGTGTCTGACGTGTACTGACTCGCTTGCGGGTTTGGAGGATGATCCTTCAGAGGGCTCGCAGGAGCCGGAGCGGCAGACGAAGATGGAGAACGAGGACGACCCTGGCATTCCCTCGCAAAGTGACCCAGCCGACCACAGCAGAAACAAGTGATGGCCGGTCTCTGGGTCCCCCGGTCGTCATGAAGACAGGGTCCTTCGGTCCCCCGACAACTGATAGGCCGCAGCGGTCAGATACCGTCTGAGGAATTTTCCCGAGGCAGATTATTCACAACTTTAGACGGGGACCAACCCCGGGGTTCCCCATCACGCTGAGGGTCCCCCTTCCACGCCACCATTTGTGACCAGCGCTGCACATTTTTGTGCACATGGAAGTACCTGGCAGCCCACCGGGACAATTGCATACTGTGGCCGCATGCAGGAGAGACAACCCCCATGTCCCTGGCCAGTGCCAACATCCGATCCATAACAAGCAAGTCGAGTGCTTCCTGCTTCACATCGGGGTAGGCAGCCACAGCCAGTGCCAGGGGAGATTCTGAACTGCCCCGCTTACGCTGCATACATTTTCTCCGCGTGTCTGAAAGTGGCACCTTGTAACGTTGCCCCCTTCTCCGGAGGAATGGACCTGAAGACCGCCAGAGCGTGATCGTCCAGCACTGTCGGCAGAGCGACCAGCGCTTCCTCCTCTGACCAATGGACCAACCGGAATGCCACCTCAAATCTCCAGGTGAAGGCGCTCCAGTCGCCGCCCGCTGCAATGAATTCTTTAACGTGGGGAAGACGACGTCCACGATCGATGCCGCTGTGTGTGACAGCAGTGGCAGCAGCAGCAGCAGCTGCCCCCTTCCCAGCACGCGGCCACCATATCCGCCTTCGCCGCACTGTCCAAGATGGTGGCACGAGCCGCATGGGCGACTCCGGTTGCGTAATGGCGGACGTTCCATCCATGCGAACAATGGCGGAGGACTGCTCCTCGCGCACAATGGCGGACGCCGACTCCGCGTGCGCGATGGCGGCCGTCACCCCAGCTGAGGAGCCCACCGCAGCCGCCGCCTCGACCTCTCAATTTCCGCTTCCTGGAGGCGATGGGAGTGGACATTCCACCACCGTGGACGTCGCTAGCTGGAGAAGAACACCCCGCAGCAAATCAAACTGCTCTTCCATCCTCTTCCACCGATCATCGGGCCCTACAGACGGAGGTGCCGCGACCGCGGCGCCCACCCCCGGAGCAGTAACTTCCTCGGCCGTAGCACTTGTAACTGGGACCACGGGTCCCAGGGTCGGCTGGTCCAGGGTCTCTCTGTCATCGTCGTCTGAAGATTCCACAGATGGGTTCTTCTTTCTGAGGTATTTAGACATATTTCTCCCTCACGATCGTCTTGTCTTGAAAGGCCACTTCTGGCACCACTGTAATAAAGTATTTCCATGACGGAGCTTATTTATTCAGAACGGTACAGCACAGCTTCACTTCCCTCCCGATGACTCCACTCTCCCAATCCGTGGACGAGGCACCTCACCGCTGGCTGATGGCGCGCTGAAAGCGAAGGTGAGCCTCGAGGAAAGACCCGCCACGTGGCCCATGGCGAGGAGAAGGCAGCGCTGCTGTCCGGAACCCAGGCTTCCACACCGACCCCGAACCTTCCCCCCGCTCTCCCTTATATCACCCCTTGGAGGAGCTAAGCCCCGCCTCTGGCCACACCCCCTCAGGGAACCTTCTCGAGGGTTCCCGAACGCCTCACCGGCCCGATTATATCCCCGCTCTCGAATTAGATCCCGATGACATCATCGTGCACGTACTCGTTACCCCCTGGTATCCCCTGGATGGTGCTCCCTCATTACACATACATACATACATAGTCTCATAGTCACTAACCAACTCATGCATACATAGAATCACATAGTCACTCACCCACTCACACATATGTAGTGTCAACGATTCAGAGACAGAGTTTCTAGGCACTTATTAACAACTTTCACGGTCACGTCCGCACACTCCCCACAGTAGTTCAGCCTAGCCTATACATAAGACTAGCCGTCTAACACTGATGGTGCTGACTGTGATAACCAACTACTATCCTTTGTAGCGCAATTTCTAGCGGAGACGTTTAGCGATGACGGCAACGAGACGACAGCAACGACGAGACGAGTCCATTCCCAGAACCAGCAGCCGCTCTCAGCTCCTTTTATTCTACCAGCGAGGCCTGGCTCCGCCCTGACCGAGCCTCCCTTCTCAAACCCGCTAGCAGGTTCCAGGAGTCTCCAGATGGGATCCTCTGTGACCCTTACCCTAGTTCCTCCTCTCTGCCATCACACCGTGCACACCCTCATCGGCGTGTGTACTGTCTAAGAAAGAAACATGTACTTTCTTCCAGTCCTCTGGAAGAAAGTACATGTTGAAGGTGATGGTTTCTTTTTAATCTGGAAGACACATTTTGGCGTAGTATCTTCCTCTCCCAGAAGCTGATAAACTACATGTTTCAGCAATGTACGTATGTTGAACTTCTTTCACGCAATATGTAGCCAATCGTGCAAACTGGAGGTGCGGCAATAGGACAACAAACTCAACACAACCACAACCAGCAGTTCTAAAGAAATTAGTTCATCAATCTAATTGATGATTTCAAAGTGCATAGCTCCAATGGCTTCCTAATATCGGCAGGAAAATTGTTCCTGACGGCCTTGGAAGCGCATCTGAAAGCGCACGTTGCGGCGACCAGCTCTGTTCGATGGCCAGGCAACATTTGTTTGTTATTTGACAATTATATTTATGTTTTACAAGCCTGCTGGTCATAAGCTATCCATTGACACCACCCCAAGGTATCCAAATGTGTTTTCTCATTTGTTACTAGAATACTTGAAATTCACTTTTCATATGTTTGTTACGTTTATTTTTTCTTTCAGATTCATATTTGTACCTCCTGGTGATTTTTATTATTTTGGTTCTGGTTTTCGCTTTCTGGTTAAAGAAGAGACGCAATAACAAGGCCAACAATAACATTATCCGGTGAGAAAAGCAAACAAAAGTTCCCACTTTTATAAGCCTAAAGCTAAGCTTTTACATACACAGTTGTTGGATAAATCACCAACTTGAAAAAATGTTTTAACAGTGAAGATTTTATGGATATTTGTAATGTTAATGTTGCATTGCCAGGAAATGTAACTCTGCAACTTAATAAGGTCGAGAGTGTCTTGGGTAAAACAATTAACGTTTGCATTGTTGCTCTGTTGTGCATAATTGTGTTAAGAGTGACTGTACTCCTGCCATTTAGGGACATTTAAAAAGAGTGACAAGAGTGTAGAGCGTCTGAGCAAATCTTTTGGAATTTTTTTCAAATCTAGGAAGCTAAGTGGGGTTGAGTCTGGACAGTTCTTGGATTGAACGACCATTATGCCTCAATAGGTGTTATTGGCTGCTGTGGGCTATATTCTCAACCGAGATCAGCGGAATAAGCATTATTGTACGATATTTTGATGCTCACACGTTTTTAAACTGCACCAACTCGCACGACCCGGTGTGGTGAAGTATGGTCAAATAATCCCCTGGCAATGGGTTGTGGATTGACGAAATAGCTACACATGTAGAACGAGGGGTGTGTACCGTTTCTCAGTTATGTTTGATGTTTCGTAACAACACACCACGATGTAACTTCTGCATTTAATTCAACAGCAGCGACCCTGAGAATAATTCTCCATATGATGTTGAAAATGAGGCGGGAAACAATGCAACCCAAAACCGAGAAGATGCTGCAAACAGCTCAAAAATACCTACAGGCAACCAGGTATGGGCTTTTATTTTGTGACAATATCACAGCCTTTATGCCAGGCCAGGTGTGCCTTGAGGCCACGTGAAGTGTTGAAGGCTCGCTGGCAGCAGGTCACGTGACAGACCCAGCAGGTGCCATGGGTTGACTGACTGAGATGACTGACAGAAACACCACCTGTACCCCCTACTGTGCCAATCGGTTGTGTTGTAGCCACCTGGCGCTCTGCTTGTTGTTGTGAGCATCGCTCCCCTGCCCTCCATTGTTGCTGGAGGGCGACTGCCTCCAACTGCCCAGTAGCAGCGTCGTTCACAATCCTCCTCCTCCATAGAGGCCGATCTTGACATTGCTGGTACCAGTCGTCGGCAAGTCCACTCAGCTCCACATCCCCCGTTCCACATCAGTCCATCTCTTCTCCAGCTCATGTCGTGCCCGTTTAGCCTCCTCTATGCGGCCAATCAGAAGGTGATTGGGTATGCAGGTTACATGATCCAGCCAACACAGCCTCATGTACTGGAGGAGCTCACCGATGGGACTTTGTCCAAATCTTTCAAGGATTTGTGAGCTCCTAACACAATCCAGCCTGGTTAAACTCAGAATGGATAATAGGCAGGCAAGAATAAATGTTTCTAACTGGTAAAGATGTTCCATTAGAGGGGTCCATGATTCACAAGCACAGAGAAGGGAGGTCATGACCGTGGCCGAGAGGACCCGAAGCTTTGTGTAGAGCAACAGCTTCCACACAGGCATTATGCAGCCGATGAAAAACTAATGCCGCTGGACTGATTCGGAGTTAGACCTCTGCTGTCAAAGCGGAGCCGGTCATGAGCACACTGCCCCGGTATGAAAAAGTTTCCACTCTCTCCATAACTGCCCCATCACCAGTTGAGTTGTGGGGGTGGAGTGTCTGATGGCACAAAATACCCAGGCAGGTGCTTAGTTTTGCTGGGACTGATGGTCAGGCCTTAGCTCATAGTGTCAGGCTCCCGGTTCAGCAGCAGCGCCTCCAACTCCCCCTCCCAGTGTGCAACAATCACCAGATCATAAGCCAACATGTTTTAGCAATAGGGGGCCATCCCTTGACCAGACCAGGCATCGATCAGCCTCCCATTGTATCTGTACTAGATGGAGATTCCTACGGTACAGCCATGGAAGGCTTCACGAACTACCTGGTCTAAACAGATGTTAAATAATGTGGGTGCCAGACGATATCCCTATCACACCCATGGTGAACAGGGAATGGTTCCGACTCCCGGCCACGTACTTTTACCCGGGCTTGCCCACCATCGTGAAGGTGTTTAATGATTGTGAGCAGAGTAAGAGATCACAAAACACATAGAATAATCCAGAGCCCTAGAAAATTCATCATAGACCTTGATCAGGTCAATAAAGCAGAGATGTAGGTCCTCTGCTATGGCAGACAGGCAAAACATATGGTGTATGTGCAGGACCGGCCCATTTTGAAACCACATTGGGGCTCCACAAGCCTCTCCTCAGCGTGCCTGGTAAGGAGATGTTGAATGATCCTTTATCAGCACACTGAAGAGGGAGATGCACCTGTAGTTGTTCCAATCAGTTCAGTCCCTTTTCTGAAAGAGATGCACTACCAGGGAATCTTCATCATCATGCAAAACCAATTCTGTGATCCAAATAGTTATAATTATATCATATACCTTCGTCAGCCAGGGTTTTAGGTGAGGTCTGGACTGCATACTCATTGCAGCCATAACTGTTGCATGAGCCACAGTCCTGTACCTTACCCATTTCCCATCGACATTGGGAAATGGAGGGGATGATGCCAACCTCAGCTGCAAGCGATGATGAAATTCCCGCTTGCAACTTTCATCAGCTAGCTGTGGGTTTTAATGGGGTCCTTGGTGGATGTCCACCACCACTACAGTGGAAAATATGTCAGCCACTTCTTAGAGATGACAAGTCGTTGGTCAGTGGGCAGATCAGTCCTGGTGTCAAGGGCATGGACCCGCATTCACGATTCCATCACTATATGGGTCCAGCAGATGTTATTTCTCGGACCCAGCATGCATCCATGATGTTGTATGGATGGCAAAGGTATTGGTTCTGCCGTGTTTCAAATCTGCCTTGTGTTCATGAACACGGTCCGAGACATGTCGTTTCGTTTCACCAATGTAACTGCCACCACAGGTACAACTCAGTTTGTAAACTCCAGGAAACCATTGTTATAACGCTGTGGGCTCGCATGACATTGTTTTTGCCAAGACCAAGGTACTCTGCAAACCTTCGGGCTACTATCAAAGGTTTGTTCATGAAGCCATCCAAATATATAAATATAGACATAACTTCAACCGAGAAGATGGATACAAATTGAGCAATCATTGGAAGGATGTTATTAACCAGGTAAAACCTTAACTGTTTTATTGTTGTTGTCGTTATATCCGCATCTCCAGCTTCCTCAGCCTCCCACTCCCAGTCCCGCCCCCTTCCCCCCATCGGCCGCACGTCCTCTCTTCCCTTAGCGCTCTCGCAGCGCTCCCCCCCCCCCCTAACCTCCCCTCTCTCTCCCCCTTTGCTCCTCCCCCTCTCTTACCTATATAACCTCTTGTCACGGCAGCCCTCTCGCCCACTTCAGCAATTGTTTCTTGCTGTGGTTGTCCCACCTGATGCCCGCTTGTGTTGTGCCCAAAACGTGGTGATTTTTTTTATTTTATTTATAACTACGTGACTTTACCGAAAGAACCAAAGAGTATAGATTCCTGCAGTCACGAAAGCTTCAAATCAAGATTATGTACTTTGTAGTTGAGTACTGTGCACCAGTATGGACCAGAAGTAGTCACCACTCGACTTGTTGATGTACCAAATGATCACTGTAATGCAGTGTATCAGTGGCACCCTCAAGTCAACCCCAACACCCTGGCGGTCAGTGCTGTCACAAATCTCTATCCAACCATTCTGCCGCCACCCTGTAACCCTCCGGGAAGTCCTACAAATCGGGGAAACCAGTCGCCTTGCGATTCACCAGGACCTCAATAACGTCCCTCGTCATCGCCTAAAGTGACGCAAGCCCCTTTTGGCCACATGCAATTACCTTGAAACTATTTAGATTTCAATCCCGATGAAGCTTGGAAAGCTGAGTGGCGTTCAAAATGACTTACAAACACACACCTTGTGAAAGACCCAACGCAGAAGAGAGTCTCGGGCCTCTGTATGAACTGTAAAGGGCCGATTATATACTTTACATTTCAATGCCACACACACACACATGGTGTAGCTTTTGACACGGAACGTGTTGAATTGTTTCGTGTTATTTGTGACTTGTGCACCAGCACCAGATAATTTGTTTAACAACGAGGTAACATTTTACCCCAGGTTTCAATGGCTCACAGCGATGTCCTTCTTTCCCCCGAGGGTTCTGCGGTTTACGCGGTGCTGGAACATCATGGGGACCGTTTGACTGCGGGACAGGAGCCAGCCACCTGCATCTACTCTCTCGCTGGTGCCGCCACGGCTGACCACACCACGAGCCCCGAAGGCTCCTGCCTGTACTCTGTGGTGAACGTGGATAATAAGGAGAGAAAGAAGAAGAAGACGAAGGAAAAGAATGAACACCAGAACGCTTTGGGCATCTATTCCCTCGTCAATGCGGGCAGTAGCTAAATCAACAAAAACACCTTCACCATATGCATAACTTACAACACTCCTCTCACCCAACAGAGGCTATACGTGACAGACACAGAGCAAGAGGTCGCCGGGTGGCTTGGAGGTCACAGACGCTGAGCTGCCACAGCCCGATATTCTGCACTTCATTTATCTAAATTTCAGCTCTGAAATTTTAAATATTAGTTTGAATGTCATGCGATAAAAATATAATGTCAGCGACAGTGACTAAGAAGTGTTGCCCTCTACCATGTGTGGACCAGAGTTACACTTCAAGAAAGGATCTCAGAAGTAGCTGTGATATATGCTAGACATTCGTTTCCTAATCCAGACTTTACATTACATATTTTAGTGATGAGTTTCGGATTTAATATCATTATTAACATTAAACTCTTAAGCACAATTTCTGAATGATTATTATTTTGTACTTTCACATTTTTGTATTTTAATTCATGAACTGGTAAATAACTGTCATTAATTTTTCACTATCAAAGTTTTTACTTTTTTGAATAAACAATTGAAGTATACTGGTTGGAGAACTCTGACAGCAGCATTATTCCTACAATTAACAAACATTTCATACAATTAGTTAGCAGTGGCGAAGGGCGTTTCTTGCGTCAATAAAACAACATTTGAATGCTTCAAATGCATTGCCTTGAGAAACCAAGGCGAACAAGACGGTGGTCAACGCATCATCGTGCGGCACTTGCAGGTGTACTGCTGCTTCTGGGGCCGTCTGGAATACTCTTCCTTCCGATATTAGGAAGCCACTGGGAGCTATCGTGCACTTTTACATAATAATCTAGATTGACAAACTCGTTTCTTTATTAAATGCTTTTTGTGTTAAGTTTGTTGTCCTTCCTCCGCACCTCCGATTAGCACGGTTGGCTACATATGGTGCAAAATAAGTTCAACATACATACAACATACATACATAGAACTTACATACATACAAACCAAATTTGTTCCAAATGAGTGATGTGTACTAACAAAAATCTCGAAAGGAAAGAAATCAACACACTTGTCAACAACACTGTGACGTTTCTGAGCAATGGACTTTATGCATAGCACATGGAAAGGGTCAGATATTTAAAGGATGAACTTCATCCTGTAGGAATGTTTGACATCACATGTTTTATTTTTTAAAGAACAAATATGTAAATATCTATATTTGAAGCTTTCGTGACTGCAGGAATCCATACTCTGGTTCTTTCGGTAAAGTCACGAAGGTATGAATTAAAATAAATCACGACGTTTCGGGTGCAAAACAAGCGTCCATCATTAGGTGGGAGAGCATGGTCTGCTGCTGAGGCAGACTGTTTTAAAAAGGTTTTGAAATGGGTGTAGCACAAGGGTCATAAATAAGTGGGCGGGGCTAGTGATGTTAATGTGAGAAATTAGCATGTAACTGTAAGATAGGAGAGTGGCCTCCTCGACGAGGGCACGGAAGTGGCTATGTTAATGTGAGAGATTAGCATGTTAATGTAAATCGAAGAGTGGTGCAATCCAAAGGCATGAGTGCAACCCAAAGGGCGCAATCCAAAGGGCATGTGAGCATGAGATATCTAAGAGAAAGGCATAGAGAGAGACACAGAGAGTCGGAAATAACAGCTGACATAGACAGGTAGGATGGAAACATCACAGTCAGTTAATACTTTACCTGGTTAATAACGTCCTTCCTACACCCGTCTATCAAATTCATTCAAAAATCATACACCCATCTATCAAATTCACCATGGAAGTGGAAAAAGATGGCAAGCTACCATTCCAGGATGTTTTGATAGAAAAGAGACCTGATGGTTCGTTGGGACATTCGGTCTACAGGAAACCCACCCACACAGATGCCTATCTAAAGCCTAACTCCCACCACCATCCAGCCCAGAAGAATTTCCTCATCAAAACACTACACCATAGGGCCTGTTGCAACTCCGACCAACACCACCTAGCCAGTGAGTTGAAGCAAGTACACCAAGTTCTCAGGATGAACGGATACTCGGACCATACGATCCGCAAAGCTGTCTCCCCAGCCATGCAAAGACAACCTTCTGAGGATCCAACCAAAACCATCACCTTGCCATACATAGCAGGGGTTACCAAAAAGATTTCCAAAATCTTAAACACAGACAAGATCTAGGTTCGTTTCAACACAGTACACAAAATCCGTGATTTAATCACATCTGTAAAGGATGTGATTCCTGACATGCAATACCCTGGTGTCTACAAACTGTGTTGTGGTTGCGGCAGCAGTTACATTGGGGAAACGAAACGACATGTCTCGGACCGCGTTCGTGAACACAAGGCAGATCTGAAACATGATAGGACTAATACCTCTGCCGTGGCTGATCATTGTTTTAACGCTGTGGGCTCACACAAAATAGATTTTTCCAAGACGAAGGTACTCTGCAAACCCACCGGCTACCTTCAGAGATTTGTTCATGAAGCCATCCAGATATATAAACACAGACACACCTTCAACCGAGAGGATGGGTACAAACTGAGCAATCATTGGAAGGACGTTCTAAACCAGGTAAAGTCTTAACTGACTGTGATGTTTCCATCCTACCTGCCTATGGCAGCTGTTATTTCTGACTCTGTGGCTCTCTCTCTCTTTCTGTACCTCTCTCTTAGATCTCTCCCCCAGTGACTCAAGTGCTGCTGCAGTCCCACTTTCTGCTCCCCCCCCCCTTCTCTCCCCCCACCTACAGCCGATCTCTTGGATTGCACTCTCATGCTCACATGTCCTTTGGATTGCACTCTTATGGTGCTAATCTCTCATTAACACTGCTGTTGTGTGCATATGCGGGGATGATACTCTTATGTGGCGACGGAAGCTAATTTTACGCTAATCTATCTCCCTAATCTCTCTCTCCCTAATCTCCCCCATTAACACAACTGATGTGCTTGTGTCTGGGGATGGAATCCCTTTCCAGCTCAGACCCTTGCTTGCACATTGCCACATAACCGTGTTGTAACAGCCCTCTCGCCGGTTCAGTAGTTCCACTGCTGGATTATTTTTTTCTGCCTGAGGACAACCGCTTGTGTTGCGATCGAAACGTCGTGATTTATTATTTTTTTTTCTACCTATGTGACTTTACCGAAAGAACCAATAGATTAACTGCAGTGAACCAACTGGGTGGACCGAGGCCGAGGAGGGGGAGTGCGTTGATTCAAGAAACTAGCACTCTATTTTCAGTTGCTGCTTCCAGAGATTAAATCAAACTGGCGACCACTGCATTGCTCATCCAACATGCTAATCCACTACACCACTGTGGCAACCATTGCTACAACTAAAACGACACTTTTTATTTGTACCAGGTGTAAGGCCCCACTGAGCTATGTAGTAGCTCTTTTTTCAGAAGCGACCTAGCTATCACAAATTATAGCAGCTCAACGAATGTGGCTTATCAAGTGAACATATATAGCTGCCAATTACGCTCAACACGTGTTTCTAATTGTGAAGGGGAAAACTGGAGGACCCGGAGAAAAATCCACGCGACCACGGGAAATGAGACACGCAAACTCCAAATATACAGCAGCAGGTGTCAAGGTTGGGATCGGACCCACGGCCTCCTGCCGTGCCCCGATGTTATATTTACTAATCTATATTTGTGTAATGACAGAGTGACATCTTCTGGTCTGAAAAGGGAAGCACGGGTGGTTCTGGGCCAAAGGTAGTAGGTGGGGTTGGCCGAGATACTTCGGGAACCTGCTCGAAGGTTCCACGAGAGGGCGTGCCCAGAGGCAGGGCCTAGTCATGCCTGGGAGGATATAAGGGGGTCTGGGTCCTGGCCATGTCACTATGTGCCGTCATCTCTCTCCGTCGTCCGGCCACGTGGAAGATCGTCTGTGGGGTCTCCATCGCCGACATCGTCACACCGCCAACTACCGGCGTAGCCAAGCGTGGGCAATGGGACCACGCCAGGTGATCGGCTATGTGTAGTTGTAGAGACGTTAGCATCTAAGAATATTTATCCGAGTGAAAAAGAACCAATGTTGTCACGGAAGTCGCTAATTACATCTTTATTAAATCCTATAATTTTTCACTATCTTCGTTATTTCTTTACCGAACTGTTACCTTTAAAAATCGAACTCATCGCAATAAATTAGGTATCTTAACTGATTTATTTTATAAGCGTCTTTGATTGGGTATGAACCAATTTGTTTACTCTGATTTTTGTAGCTTCACATTCACAGCATTTGTGCATGACGCAAAAACCATGAGCACATTCTTAAGAACTGCATTATGGTGCTGTTGTCTTCAGTCACTGTGAGGGCTGATATATCTGAGTCCTCTAACTCTCCCTCATGAGGGCCCGAACACTCACGTAAACCAACCCCCCCCCCAACTCAGGCAAACCCCAAGTCCACAAAAGGGACGTTAGACAAAAACATTACCAAGCTGCAGCGTTTACAAAGTTCTCTGGCTATGCATCGTGATGGGTACTGCAAGATCCGGCACTGTGTATCCTTCTGGTGCTCGCTGAGCTGCGTTGGCTTCCAGTAGCCGAACAAATTCATTCTAAAGTCGCGCTAATTGCACATAACGCGCTTGCCACAACTGAACCACAATACCTCGCTGATCTAGTCAAGGAGTATAAACCATCACGCGAACTCCGCTCATCCTGGCAGCGGCGGTGGCTTTTGCTAACCATCGAACAAAGATGGCCACTGCATTGCGCGTTTCCAGATGCGCTTCTGCGACCACCTGGAACGCTCTTCCTTCTGTTATTAGGAAGCCATTGGTGCAATGCACTTTTCAATCTAAATTAGAAAATAATTTATTTAGAACTGCTTTTTGTGTTTAGTTTGTTATTGTTCCCCTGCACCTCCGATTAGCGCGGCTGGTTACATACGGTGCGAAAGAAGTTTTACACACATGCGTACATAGGTGTTTAACTCGAACAAGGTAGGTTGGATTACTGCCCGATTACATTCACTGTTCCACTCTCCAGCACATGGATAAGGTCGTGCCTTGACAATTGGGGGCATTGTGAACCTTGCAGTCCTCAATCAGTTTTATGCCAGGAGCTCTCCCACCACTGTGTCAACTAGAGGTTAACTCTGCATCACATCGTTTCACAATCTAGAGTTCATAATTATAAGGTATAAAACATAACCATAAAAATATTGTGTTGTTGTGTCACTGAATACATCTATAAATGATGAATATGCACAGATTCTGCCTGGAGTTAAATTTCTCAAACCACACCCTCTCAAATATGGTAAGCAATAGAGTATGCAGGCTTCCTAAATTTAGCACAATATACAATTTAACTCCCTGACGAAACTGGCTTAAATACATGTGGGAATAGTTAAGCACATTTATGAATGTGGCCTTGCACTGGAATCCTAGCGAAATATGCGCTGGTATATAAACACCGTAGTTAAAAAGGAGCTCTTTCCTGGGAATGTTCAGGTAAGGCAAATTCCATAAAACAACTGTGTTAACTGGAATCGTACCCTAAACAAACATAAACATGGGACTGTCCTGAAAAAATATGCTTAAATATGAGCGCTGATTTGCATAATTAAAACAACATCTCTTTCCCCATCTCTGTCTCTCACTGTCTCTGCATCTGTTTCTGTCTCCAGCTCTTGGCTGAGGCTGGTGTTGTATATATAGGCCTTTTTCCAAAAAATAATATTAAGAATAATTCTGCCAATATTTTTTTAAAATAATAATCAATCGGGGTGTCGCTTGGGGCACCAAGAGGGTGATGCGAACCCCCTCCCCTCAAACAGCAGCTGTCTCTCACAAGTCACACTAGGCAAGGAAGTAGCCATAAAAGGTAATAAGAAAAAAAACCCAGTGCAAAAGAGGGAGGGGGGGTTGCGGGGGAAATCTCTACCGGGCTTCAAAGACCGCCACAAAGCACGTACAAGCAACGGGCGCCACAATTCTTTCCGGGCGGCGAGAG